TTAGTCACTTCAGTCGTGTCTGACTCTTTGCGACCCCATGAACTGTTGTTGCCCATCAGGCTCCTCTGTCCATGGGATTCTCCAGGCAAGAATACTGGAGTGGGTTGCCATTTCCTTCTCCAGGGGATCTTCCTGACCCAGGTATCAAACCCAGATCTCCTGAATTGCAAGCAAATTATTTACCATCTGAACTACCAAGGAAACCCTAGGACCTCTATGGAATTATATCCACACACCTAGTCAGGTCTGCTTTATCTTACCTGCCAACTAGAGTACATTCGACCTGAGTGATGCAGACAGCTGGCCTTGTGCTGGGAATGGAAGGGCACTGGGAGGTTTTCTCATGACTGATCTGGCATTTCCACCATGCCAGTTCTCAGATTCATCATATATTCAACACATTGACCCCGAAAGATTTCTCTGGCAGATGAGATGACCTGTCCACCACCCAACAGGTCAGGGGCTTTGAACCAGGTTCCTAGCACTGCTGATGAGCTGGACTGATGGTCAGAGCTGGCTTGCAGGGAATGACCAACCGTTCCTCATCCAGGTTCGCAAATGACACGCCGTTTCATGAGGTGACAGAAATGCTAGGGTTGAGGGGCAGGGGTGGGCTTACCTCCTTCCAGGACATTTTCTCTCTGGGTGAAACCAGCTAACCCTCAGGAGAGGAAACATGACTTCAACTTCATTACCACCTCACTCCAACTCATAAATTTAGCAGTCCAAGCTGCACCAAGAGTAAACACAAGGAAGCAAAGAACTTAATGGATTTGGAGAGGAAGGCCTTCATTTTACATACTTAACAGGTCACTGACAACTTTTCACACTTTATGGAGAGAATCATCTGAGCCATTAGCAGGTCACTTGACCCACTCTCTTTAAAACCTCTCTAAGCTCAAAAAAAAAACAAAAAACAATCCTAAAAGCTCTGAGAATAGGAGATCTGGGATTTTAGCCTGACCAGTCTGCCAGGCAGGTTTACTGGCTGCAGGCAATTCCCAGCAGTTGGTGTCTTGCCAGGGAGCCTGAAGCTGCAAAAGCTGCAGCTCTGCTGGGTTTGAAGGGCCTCCTTCCGCCTGAGTTGCCCCTGAGGCTTCAGTTCCGTTCTGTGGATTCAGCATCTACTACAAATGTCAGGAACTGTGCTCTGTACTGTGCAGGGCATGGGTTATGGAGACTGTCTCCTCAAGGGTCTTCCTGTCCAATCAGAGACACGAGACATTGATCTAAATAGCAACCATTTAGGGTAGAAAGTGACTGGCAGTTGATACATATTATAAAGTTGTTGTGCCAGGTCATGTCCATTGAGTATATATGTGCATTGAGTACACATACACAGGGGCGAAAAAGTCAGACTGGCCCTGGCCTTAGAAGAGATTCAACAAGCATTCGTTGAAGGAATGTTAGTCATTCAGTCATGTCCACCTCTTTGTAACCCATGAACTATAACTCACCAGCCTCCTCTGTCCATGGGGTTTCCCAGGCAAGAATACTGGAGTGGGCTGTCACTCCCTTCTCCATTGTTGAAGGAGAGAAAGTAACAGTTGTTGAGCACCTAGTATGGGCCAGGCTGTGTGCCAGGATCTTCTCCTTTAACTTCCTCCTCACAAGTATTCTCTTCGATGGATGATGCTCTCTTTTCACAAATAGAGAAAGAGGGGCTCAGAGATGTTAGGTCGCTTTCCCAGAGTCACGCAGATGGTGAATAGAAAGATGGGATTCGAAAGCAGAACCGTCTGACTTCCAAGATCCTGCTGTCTCAACCTCTCTGCATTTCCTCTGATCATTTTAGAGCACAGCTTCCTTCTGTGCTGATCTAATTCATTTCCGAGGTGAGGAGCCTCACAGAGCCAGGTTGACAAGCGAGAAGGCATCCATTGCTAATCCAAGATAAGGACTCTCAAAGCCATCTGCATATCCCATGATGTGTGAGTCCTGCTTGGCTCTGTCTCTGGCTGCCTGTCCCGCGATGTTCTCCATCATCAACCCTGTGATCCCCTCATCTCCCTTCTGATAAAATGGAAGAATCGAAGGGCAGAGAAGAGAACAAATGTGGTTTCCAGAGATGGGGGCACAAGCCCCGCCCTGTCCCCTCAGGATTCGTCCAGCAGGGCTGACCCAACAGCGCAGGCAGCCACCGCCCGGCAAGCTCACGGCCAACCTGGCTTCCACCCCAAAATCCTCATCTTCCCTCCTCTTGCCGTTTTGCCTAAACCCAAGAAAACTATTTTCATTCCTTCTCTTTCACTGCCTTTGGGGAAGAGGAGAATTCAGGACTTTCGCAGCTTAACAAAGCCTTCAGCATAAAGCCTGTATTAGTGACTTGGGAGGGCCGGAGCCTGCATGCTCACCTCCTCAGCCCCGTCTCCTCCAGTGCATGCTGGGTAGCTCCTGAACCACTCCCAGGGCACCATGGGTAACTCTCGCCAATCTTGGGACTCAGCTCAGACCATGTGCTCCAGAAAGCCTTCTTGGACCACACTTCAGCTGTGTGTGTGTGCATGTGGTAGTGCCCCTTCTGCGTGCTCCCACACCCACCTACACTGCCCTGCAGAGTGCCCACCACACTGCCTTGTACCCTCCTCTCCACGCTCTGTGACAGCAGGAGACGTATCTCCAGGGAGCATAAACACTCCCAACCCTTGGGCACAGTCCTGGAGCCCAATAAATCCTAGAGGAAGGGAAGGACAGAGGAAAGGAAAGACTGGGCTCAGACTCTCAGCCCAAAGGCTTGCTTCCCAGGCTGGCCCTCGCCTCAGGCCTGGTACAGTTCCCTGCCGTCAGAGCTGCCAAGGGAGAAGAGGGTGAGGTCTGAGGAAAAGCAGGCTGGAAGGAATGTTTGTTCCCTGAGAAAACTCAAGCATGATCTTCAGGGCTCCAGTGATGAAGGTCGGAGCCATCACTTCAGAACATCTGCAGTGCCCGGCGGGGCCAGAAGAATGAGGCAACTTCTAGTGCTCTCTCCACAGATGGCCCTGGGTCTGTAGGTCAGGGGGCTGTCCCAGGGGCTCTCCGAGCAGCTGCCCTAACCTGTGTGTACTGGGCTCACTAGAGGCAGGAAATTCCATGTTGTAATGGCTGGCTTTCTTCCTTTCATTCCTGATCCATGACTAGGTGGTGGATGGGCCATTAAAGAAATCATTTAGGCAGATTTTAGGAACATCTGACTAGGCTCCAAGTCTGCAGCAAGAGGAAAATATAACAGGACAAAGAGCTGGGGGCTGCGCCATCTCACCTTCATTTCCATCGCTAGCCTGGCTTCTGAAAGGAAAATGTTTAAACGCCTATCTTCTGTGTTGTCACTAGCATTGGATGGAGCTGAGTTCACCACTTAAAAACACACATTTAAAAGCTCATCTGAGTGGCTGCCACCATGTTATCAAGCTGAACACATGTTGATCTGAGAAGATTAGAAAAATTGTTCCCAGTGTCTGGGGAGGCAGTGCTTTTTAAACAAGTGCTTTTCAAAGAATAAGCCATTAAGAAGCACTTTGCACACATGTAGCCCCTGAACCTGAAAACAAATAAAACTCAAATCAGTACCAAATCAGTAACTCTGAGCAGTAGACTAGAGAATCTGGCTGGCATATTTTAGAGATGTGGTTATAAAAGGTTGCTATTCCATTTATTTTTCATTTTCTGAACAGTTAATGACAGAAGGAATCAAAAATCATTTTTATGTTGGACCTGTACATTTTTTATTAAAATATAGCTGATTTACAGCATTGTGTTAGTTTTAGGTGTACCATATAGCAATTCATTTATTTTTTTCTGATTATATTCCACTATAGATTATGACAGGATATTGAATATAAATCCCTGCATTTGTAGCATTTGTACATTCTTCTTAATCAACTAGGAAAAATCACATTCTCCTTCATATTTTACTTTCTTTTTCCAAAGAGGAATTAAATTTTTGTGGAAATTTAAATTTGTTCCTTCCATTTACCAAGAAAATGGTATTACTCTTGCTTTCAATCTGTTCTATCTCAGTTTAGTTTCAAGTTGAGACTTTATTTCATTTCCAGCCATGTAAAGAGTGGCTGGTATTCCTCTATTACCTCTTACTTTTGGACATAATTGCTTGGTGAGGCCATAAGCCTATTGGGTAAATCAAACTCTCTACTTTTCACTGTATATATAATGTTAGAAGAAACCCATATACAACACTTCCTTCTGCAACTAAGTTTCAAACTGTCATGAATCAGTTGAGCTAAAGCAGAGAGATATTGAATAAAAACACTTTTTGCAATAAATGTTAAGCCCTTCTCATTTCACTATTAGTTTTGCCTTCCTGCTGATCCTGCTGTGACTAGTCATGTCCAACTCTGTGACTCCCATGGATGGTAGCCCACCAGGCTCCTCTGTCCATGGAATTTTCCAGGCAAGAATACTGGAGTGCGTTGCCATTTCCTATTCCAGGGGCTCTTCCCAACTCCGGGATCGAACCTGTGACTCTCATATCTCCTGCACTGGCAGGTGGATTCTTTACCACTGAGCCACTGGGAAGCCCCAGCTTTGCTATAAATTATAAAATAGACAGGTGGGTTAACATCCTTTGTTTTCAGAGCTTCTTAGCATTTTGACAGCAAATAAAAGCCAAGATTTCTGGTTACCTGAATCTATATCCTGAAAGGTGGCTCAAACCAAATGAAAGAAGAGAATAACCTAACCAAGAACGAGTCCAGCATCCTTTCCCTTCAGGATCTTGCTATTACAGCACCTAATCAGGGTTAATAAGCAGCCTGCAGAGTGCCCTAGTGGCACCAACAGTGTTTGCCTTGGTCGAGAAATTTGGACTTGACTCAGCCCATCTGCTCACACTGCAGCCCAGGGTTGGCTTTCATTTGGCGATCATGCTGTCAACTCAGTTTAAAATATACATGGGTGAGGCATATGCTTGGCCTTGCTGCCCAGGGAGATGCTAGCATAGAGAAATGTGAAAGATCCTGATTGAAGCTCGCATTTACAGACTCTCCTTTTCTCTTCTCCCCTAGTTACTGTGACAGTGGGAGGCAAGCAACACTTGCTCGGACTGTATGACACCGCAGGACAGGTATGTTTTTCTTATCTTGATTCATGAAATGTTTGGGAGGGGGGAGAATGGTCCATTTGACTAAGTTTATGGGGACTGATGGGATAGACGTTACCTCCTCTGATGACCTGGGGCTAATTTATCATATACCTAAAACAACAACCAAAATATTTTTAATATCCTAACAATATTTGTAATAACAGAAAACTAAATCATTATGAGATTCAAGGTATTGATAAGCAAATACCCATTCATTTATTGATTGATGACTATCACTAACCAAAATCACATATTTGGTGAAGAGTTCCAATTTCTTCTAACCCATGCCAATTCCAGATCCAGGGTAACTGAGTCAATTTCATAAATTTTAGTTTCATCTACTATTTTTTTTCAATGTTGTATCCTTTACCCACTCTTTATTTAAAAAGCCTAATAATGAGCTGTAGAAAGGTACAAAAAGAGATAGGAAATGGGTATCAGGGAATAGAAAAAAGATGGATTTAGTATCAGAAGGAGAAAAAACCAGGATCCTGGATATTTTCCCAAACTGAGGGTCAACCCCTGAACAACTGAAGTTGAATCTAAATTCTCTATTCTGAAATATGCTCATTCTGTCAGAAATATTTCTTCAAGTCAGAGATCTTGGCCAACCAATATGTAAAGCAATAGAACCCTCAATTCTTAAACCAGTTAACACATTCTCTGCTAGGGTGAAAATGTCACCTTGTCTTTTTTTCCCTTGTATCCCACATGTTATTACAAAAAGTTTCTAAAGTTACCAGTTCATGGGCTAGAGGGGCAGTGGTTAAGTAATTGATGGCTGTAACCCAATTTCTTTGACAGAGCTGTTGTTACCATACATCCGGGATCATTTATTTAAGTCAAAATCAGTGGGTTTTTCAGTCTGTCTGAATTCATACATCTTAAGTCCTTTGGCGTGAACGTTTGACCCTGCTTATTCCCACTGTGAGTCTCCTGGTAATTGTTATATGCAGTTACACATTTGTCTAGATTTTTTTCACAATTATCTGGAGATATGTCTTTTTGCTCAACTTGAAAAAAAAGTCATAATAAACAAAATTCTCCTTGGGATTTCTGTATGCATTGGCAAGAACCACTGTATAAATGTCTTGCTATTGTTGTTCAATTGCCCAGTCACGTTCGACTCTTTGTGACCCCATGGACTGCAGCACGCCAGGCCTCCCTGTCCATCACCATCTCCCAAAGTTTGCCCAAGTTCATGTCCTTTGCATCGGTGATGTCATCTAACCATCTCATCCTCTGATGCCCTCTTCTCCTTCTGCCCTCAATCTTTCCCAGCAACAGGGACTTTTCCAATGAGCTGGCTGTTCATGTCAGATGATGGTGGCTCAGGCAATATAAAAGTCTATGGAACATCAAAAGCAGGTGTTCCACAGACAGGCAGAACCAGGCAGTGGAGAACTTGAAAAATCTAGCAGCAGAATCAAAGCTCGTAAAAGCATCTAGTTTCCCCTCACTGGAAGATGGGTGCTTTAGCCAGCTACCCTCAGGAACTAGAAAGTGGAGGAGACCTCTCACATCAATACCAAGACACACAACTAGGAAAGGATGCCCACAGACACACAGATTGGAAAGGTGAGTGGCTCCTCTGTGCTAAGGTACCAGGCTTCAGTGCAGCTCCTACTTGACTGCCCCTGCACCAGAAAGCATTCCAGCAATAGAAGGAGGCTGCTCTTTGGGCTGGAGTTGCCTACATTCATTCAATCACACAGTCATTGGGGTGTCCCCATTCATCAGGACTCACAGCCTAAAAAAGAAAGTATACACCCTTCTCATACATAATCATATCTTATGAATATAATCCAGTTTGAAAAGCTCAACATAGCAAGGATTATTACCTGACTCTGAAACCTGTTTCCTTTGCCTTCTAAAAAAGCTCCCTAAGCCCCCTGCCCTGTGCCCAGTTCTTCCTAATTCTATAGCAATCCACTACAATTGTTAGCTTCTGTGCTTAATTGTCCCCAGGACAGTTTCCCCCTGGCCTCTATTTAATCTCAAATCCAACAAAACTGCATAAAACCAGTTTAGTTATTCTTTCCCACTGCTCCATCTTTTTAGAAAAATTTAAAAATAATACTAGTATTTGAGTAAAGACTCTAAGGCAGTGGATAAAACATGTTTAGACTACAAATTGACCCAAAACTCTGACACAGGAGAACATGATAATTGCTGATAGAATATAACAACAAATGGGTTACAGATAATTCTTCAACTTAACTTTCACTTTAATGCTTTCCACCAGCTACTTTGAAAACCCAGAGGTAGACAAGGTTCATAGGGGAACATAAAATGTGGGGAAAAGAAATCAGAACATATCTTAACGTCGGTTATAGAACTGAAATTCTAAGATTGGGACCTTTGAAAATGATTTAAATAGTGCCTTAAAGAACCGGAGTAATTAAGCAAAACAATTGGAGGCTAGACCTAAGGGAGACATTTTAGCAGGAAAGGGCCGTGAAGTGTTGGAATGTGTTCCACTGAAGGATTCATGTAATTCATTACGTGGAACAGTGGTTCTCAGACTTAAGTAGAAATGAGAATCACAAATAGGGCTGGTTAAAACCCAGACACTGGGCTCCACCCTCAGAGCTGCTGACTCTACAGTTCTGGGATGGTGCCTCCACACTTAAATTTCTGACAGGTAACTTTGAGAACCACTGTTCTAGAACCTTGGGACTCAGAGTCTGGACGACCAACCAGCAGCATCACCAGGGACCTTATTAGAAAGGCAGAATCTCAGGCCCCATCCCCCACCTACTGAATCTGAAAATGCATTTTAAGAAGATCTCCTGGTGATTCATCCGCACATTAAAACTGGAGCCTTTGTTGGTTGCAACATTGTTCCTAATGTCAGGAGGATGCAGTGGAAAATAACCATTACCCAAGTTGATTCCCATGGCTCCACAACTCTGCCAGTAAAGCTTTGTGACAAATTTAATTTAGAAGCATTGTCCCAAAATTTCCATTCCCAGCTTCAGGGATGATAACCTCCTCAGTTATATTCTCACAAATATTGCTGAGGTCACATGACTAAGGAAGATCTAGAACTAATTCAAAATTACTCATTTGATCAGAGTTACTAACAAGAAAGAGAGGTAATCTCGAGCCAATTGATTGATCCCTGAGCCGCAAAAAAAGAAACAAGCCTCCGAACCTGGCTATAGGGTTGCATCTGGCTGTGAATAACCAGATTTTCGGACACAAACAAACAAAGGGACAGTGCCCCCTCATCTTTGTCTTGAGTTAAGCAGGGCTCAGAGTTAAAAATAACCTCAAGAAGCACACGTGTTCAGAAAGATAAAGTGGCGAGAAAATACTACCTCTACCCTCAAAGTCAGCCCTGGACAAAATCATCTGACCTGGTTCCCTCCACTTTGCCACACCTCGTCACCTCGGGCGCCTCCGCAGTCCCACTAGACTTGCCTGAGACACCTTCCGGGACCGCACAGCCAGCCCAGCATCCGCTCAAGACAGTTTGTAACGAAGCCACGTGCATACACTGCCAGCATGAGGCAGCTGCTAGCAAACATTAGCTCTCTCCCCAAATCCCTGAAACAAACGGATACTTGGGCTGTGAGTGGAGCTCTTTGAAGACAGTCTTCAGAACTCCGGTTCATCTGTTCGACAGAATTCCAAACATTCAGTTAGGCAATGAAGTGAGGGGCTTTTTCACAGGGTCACTCTGCGTGTTACGCCCCAGCTCACACCAGGGAGGCAATAAGGCCCAGGTCTGTAAGCTGAATCTATTTAGATCCTGCCTACCCAACCTGCACAGCACATGCCCCAGTAGCATGTGGCTGAGAGGCTTTCTGAGAGGGATTTCCAGAGCTCAGGTCTTTGGCTTGACTACAGAGTCTGGAGCCGACTTTTTCACGACACGCTTACAGGCCAGTTTGAAAGCATGTTCATGAGAGACTTGGGCTTCACCAGTGGCTCGGCGGTAAAGAATCCACCTGCAATGCAGATGTGGGTTCAATCCCTGGATCAGGGAGATCCCCTGGAGAAGGGAATGGCAACCCTATCCAGTATTCTTGCCTGGGAAATCCCATGGGCGGAGGAGCCTGGCAGGCTCCAGTCCAGAGGGTCGCAGAAAAGTCCAACACGACTTAGTGACTAAACAGCTGCATGAGAGAGTAGGGGAGAGCAGGAGGCAGGGTGGGGGTGCTGCTGCAAGCCAGGACATGTGCTGGCTGAGAAATGCCCAAATGGGAGAAGGGTCTCTCCCAGGTCACAGCCCAGAACCGGGCAACCCCCACCTCCCCCCACCCCAGCTGGCCCCCTAGAGTGGGACCAGTCCTGGTACTAAGACACCAAACCTGCTCCTCTCATGGGCTCTGGCCTGCAGGAGCAAAGTGAGTAAAACCCTGCTGCAATCAGCCTCTCAGGGCGAACCCCAGGACAGAGGTATCTCAAAGACAGCATTTGCAAAAGTGGCAGTTAGCTGTGCTGCCGGGAGAAATGAGACTCTCCTGGTGTCAGGAGCCTGGCTTCTCAGCAGGATAAACCTCTGAGCTCTTGGCACATGAGTACCACTGGATTAGGGTTGTCTGCTTGTGGGCAAGTACAGAATGGTGTCTGTCAGGGAGAAACCACAGCAGCTCAGCTGTCCCAGTGACCATGAGTGTCTGAGAGCAGGAGAGCCATCAGTCATACCGCTTGCTCAGTCAGGACGGCACACCACACATCTTCACTGCCCTGAATCCTGAAACGCTTCCTCCCCTCTCCCTGAAACCCCGCACCCCCTACACCTCCACAGGGGCTGGAAAGAGAGACATATGACCAGGGAGGGAGGCAAGTACATCAGGGGTTCATTAACGACGGCAACCTGGGGCCCACTTGGAAGGACAGGAGCCTTTCCTTTTCTTATCAGCTGACCCAAGGGCCCTCTGGAGCCCGGAATCCAACATCGACTCTCTATGGAAAGTCTGCCTAAAACCTCAGAACAAATGTTCTTCCCCAATGAGTGACTCAAACTTTCT